AGCACTTGGCGGGATGACACATAAACCGAGAAGTAAAACAAAAAAAGAAAAACCAAGAAGACTTCAAAAAAAAAAAAAGAGCGTTTTTTTTTTTTTTKTTGGCATGCCGAGAGAGAGAGAGAGAGAGAGAGAGAGAGAGAGAGAGAGAGAGATTCCGGGCGTGTTTGCTGCAGAGCTCTGCGAAGGTCGCCGGAAGGCTCTCTCTCTCTCTCTCTCTCTGTGGCAACCTGTTCGAACGTGCGGTTCAAAAGAGCAAAAGGGGAAGGACTGGAAGGTTTGTTTCCATTTCTCATTTTCTCTCTCTCTCTCTCTCTCTCTCTCTCTCTCTCTCTCTCTCTCTCTCTCTCTCTCTCTCTCTCTCCCTCTCCCTCTCTCTGTCTGTGGCAACCTGTTCGAACGTGCGGTTCTAAAGAGCAAAAGGGGAATGACTGGAAGGTTTGTTTCCATTTCTCATTTTCTAACTCTCTCTCTCTCTCTCTCTCTCTCTCTCTCTCTCTCTCTCTCTCTCTCTCTCTCTCTCTCTCTCTCTCTCTCTCTCTCTGTGGCCACCTGCCAGTCCTGTCTCTTATACACATCTAGATGTGTATAAGAGACAGCTCCCTCTCTCCCCGTTCTTCCCTCCGCACGCCAAGACAAAAGAGGGCTGATTTTTTGACGTTGTTTTCCTTTGTTTGTCCTTTTTCTTTTTTTTTTTCTCTCCCTCTTTACTTTTTTCCCGACTGTACAAGTACGTCCGGGAAGTGTACGCCTGGTAGCCCCAGCCTCGACATGGCTCGGCATCCGGTCGGCCTAGGCTAGGACTTGATAGCTGGGCCAAGTACTGGTGGTTTAAAATAACTGAGGCATTTCCTCGAAGAGGCTGCACTGGAGTTCAAGCGTTTGACAGAAGAATATGGCCCTGGTTGCACCACTTGCCTCCAGATGCATTGTATCTGGGCACCCGCTCGTGTCCAGATGCATTCAAAACCTTTCCCACTGGCGTGGTGCAACTAGGCGTTATGGCTTAGAGGCTCGCCACACAGGCTGCCGAAAACCCGGTTTTTGACAATTTTGCATTGCGACACAGACTTTCGAAGAATTGCGGTTGAATAATTTTTCGACAGGTGTCAGATTCATTGTTTTGACAACCGCCCTCCAGCATTCGTTTCCTCCTGCCTGCAGGTGACAGAAATTCGACAGTGGGCCGCCCACCTTTCGAAAAACGCCTCTGATTTTCCATTGTCAGGGACTGCTCCCTGACAGCCGTGGCTTGTTTGTCCGTATGTAGTCGAAAGTGGCTGTCGAAAACGGCGTGGACATCTGGTCCGCTTGTGCGCACAAATTCATTGTTGTAACAACTCCCGACAGGTGACCGCCTTCGCCACACAGCACCTGTCGAAAGGCTGAGGTGACTTGCCAACTTTCGACAACCTCGCCCCTGGACAGGCTATGTGGCGAAGGGGGGGGAAATTGTCGACCGCCCGACTGTCAAAATTTTTCCCACACCTGTCAAAAATTTTCGACATTCGACAGCCTGTGTGGCGAGCCTCTTAGTTTTCAAAAGAAGAAGGAGGAACTGTTTGTCACGGCACCCTGTTTCGGTCCATTCGTCCCATTCTGCGTACGTTCACTGGGCATCAAAGCCACGGCCTCCAGGACACACTGGGCATCAAAGCCACGGCCTCCAGGACAGAATAGGGTCGTAAGGTTTGGCGATTTTGGTGGCAGTTACATGCAAGGCTCAACCTGTGGTGGGGTGACCATGGGTTGTGTTGTCTAATCACTGAATGACAAAACAATAACGAGTGAATCTTTTTTGGGGGGATAATCTGCAAAATACCCCCATAAGTTGATATATATGCCAAAATGCCCCTGGAAGATGTGGATAGAGCGAAATGCTCTTCAGGGACGAATTCTTTGTGTTATGCCCCTGTCAGGCTGGTGCACAAATTTGCAACCTGGACCGTGCCGTTTGGGCCTGGGCAGTTTAAAATTGGGCCTTGAAAAGTTGGCAACTTGGCAAGTACCGAGGCATTTTGCAAAGTTGGACAGTACCCCGGGAGGGGTATATTGCAAAGATTTGGGTACAACCGACACCGGTGGTGTTTCACAAAAGTTTTTTTTTGTCAGAAAGACATTCTGCTCTATTCACATCTCTTAGGGGCATTTTGGCATATATCTCAACGTATGGGGGTATTTTACAAATTATCTCTTTTTTTTCCTCTTTCTTTTGGACCATTTCTTAATTTATGCCTGTCATGCTTGCGCAGGGGCCATGCTGATCTTCTCTCTATATCCTCCAATTTAGCGGATGTCCGGAGTGAATCTATTCAACGTCCGCCCCACTATTTTCTGCTCAGGGCATACTGACACTAGCACTTTCCTAAATGTATCCGACTGCAATTACGGTCGGGCCAGCATGCATCTGACCACTATCCCGTCCAGAGTTCAGTTGAAAAAGTCCTAGTGTGAGTATGCCCTCATTCTATAGGCTTGTGGTTCATTGTCTTCGTGGAAACTCCTAGAAGACTTTGGGGCTCCACTGGGCAAGGACCTTTTTTGTCTTCCCCCCC